ATTATTTAATACATAGTGGGGGACAAGACATTTGCTAGTGGGGAACAAGGCATGCAAGTGTGGGGAACAAAATATAATGGTATGAAAAGCTTAAAAATAATTGATTAAAATATGTTGCCCATACCTGTTTTTGGGTTATAAATAGGGGCTGGTTTTTGGAAGGAAAAGTGGAGTTCTCTTTCAGTCTTTTTTTCAGAGAGTTTAGGTTAGATTTTTAACATTTAAAAGTTCAGTAATTTGAGAGTAAAAAACAGACTGGTTTTTAATCCTAAAAGGTTCAGTGTTCGGAGAGCTAAGAAACTAAAAAGTGAGTCTTTTCTTTTACTGCTAAATATCAGAACTAGTACTGTTGTTGTTTCATTGGTGTTGTTGTTTGGTATTTCTGGGGTTTCAATTGGTTCTTCCTGAGTTTGTTATTGGTTATTGGCTACTGTTTTCATTGGGTGTTGCTGGAACTCTGCTGGTTCCTTCCTTTTTAATCTGTCACTGGGTTGTTCTGTCACTGCGTTGCGGTGTTATTACTGTTGTTGACTGCTCCTTCATCTTCTTGCATTTCTGTTATCCAGGTACATGTTCTACAGCTCTCAAATTTAAAGGAAAGGAAGTAAAGAGTTGTTGGAATGGATTTCTAAAAATAACTGTTTCTTTGTGTTTAATTTGATGTATAAGCAGTAGTTCACCTGATATTTCATAGTATGTATTGGAATGACTTTGAAATGCATAAACTGGACTGATTGAATCTATTTCTACAAACATGGAATATCAATTGTAATTAATCTTAGTTGGTGATTACTAGTTATGAAATATACTGTATTTAATTCTTTTTTTCAGTAGTCGTGAAATAGTTTCAAATAGTTTATGTCACAAAACAGGTTCAAATAGTTTATGGAAATCAGCATGTTGGTTTAATAGGTCTAATTCTGAAATTGCGAGTTCACTTGAGTAAATAAAATTATTTTAAATAGCAACGTAAATAATGTTAGTAACTAATGTTAGTTCTCAAATGTTAGTGATTAATGTTAGCTTGATGACAGTTTTTTTAAGCATTGATGCATTTTTCAACAAATCGTAAAAAGAGCTCAAAAAATGGCTTTGTATTCCACATAGTTAATTCCAATAGTCCAATTCATATAATAAAGCTAGGTTGAACTGAATCGAAATGGTAACTGGTTTGTTAATATTTACAACGGCAGGCGGCGGATCTTAAGTTAGGTAGAAGGTTCAAACTAGAGGGTGTTTCCTTTTGTTTGGACACGGACTTGAACTTGAAGCCCGAACTTTTAATACTAATTGATTAGGATTTTCTTTATTCTTAGAGACAAATAAATAGAAAATTAGTCGCTTTAGGATATCCTTGAATAAAAATGAGATGAGCCTCGCCGAATAAAAAATATAAAATTGTGGGGCCCTCAATAAATATTTGTTTCAAAATACTTAGATTTAGGGACGGGCCGTTCAGCGAATTTCACGGCCTTCCCCAAAAGATAATAACGCACAAGTCACTTCCGGTGCGCGTTAAAAATTTACTCTCTTAAACTCGGGTGCACATTTATGTGACCCAAATCCAAATCTCAA